ACCCACACTACTACTACTACTACTACTACTACTACTGCTACTACTACTAATACTACTACTACTACTACTACTACTACTACTACTACTACCCACACTACTACTACTAGTACTGCTACCCACACTACTACTACTACTACTACTACTACCCACACTACTACTACTACTACTACTACTACTACTACTACTACTACCCGCACTACTACTACTACTACTACTACTACTACTACTACTACTACTACTACCCACACTACTACTACTACTACTACTACTACTACTACTACTACCCACACTACTACTACTACTACTACTACTACTACTACTACTGCTACTGCTACTACTACTACTACTACTACCACTACTACTACTACTACTACTACTACTACTGCTACTGCTACTACTACTACTGCTACTACTACTACTGCTACTGCTACTACTACTACTACTACTACTACTACTACTACTACTACCCACACTACTACTACTACTACTACTACTACCCACACTACTACTACTACTACTACTACTACTACTACTACTACTACTACTACTATTACTGCTACTACAACAACAACAACAACAACTACTACTACTACTACTGCTACTGCTACTACTACTACTACTACTACTACCACTACTACTACTACTACTACTACAACTTCTACTGATAACAATTCCACTACTATGACACAGAAAATTTGTATAGGTAGGGGTTTGAAATTCTGTGAAGCTTTATAATTCACTGTTCGAAATACACAAACAATCTGAAATCGACAGATGACATCGACATTGTTCAGGTGTTGATAGCGTTATGTAGTGCTTATTTACTTACTTACTTACTTCACGATGCGGCTTTCATCACCCCCAGTGTTGTATAGGCTGCCGACCAGAATTCTTCGACACATTGTCATCGCAAAACTACTTTGTCTAAACTCAACAAAATGATAAAACAAAACCACTTACAAAACTTTCAGATAGTTTATTGTAATTAAGTGAAAAAACTATTCTTATTAGGTCAATGTCAAATTGTCAATTTGTGCTTATTGTTGTTATTGTCGTTCAATGTACAATGTTCAACATCCATTGTATTCAATGCGTTTGACGTTGTGTGCTGATATTATCAAAAGAGAGAAAAGAACAAAGGTTTCATTGTGAAAAAATACGTGCTCAACTATTTATTTACGTAGATTTTATATTTGTAGTTGAACTCTTAGCAATTTTGACAATGATTAATGTGACAGGAAAAGAGTAGAGAAAAACAGTTCAAACAAGAGAATTTCTAATTTCACGATGCTGATGATGATGACGTGGTGATTATTTTCATTAAGAAAGAAAAACTAGGAGTGTTTAATAAAATATGAAAAATATTGTGATGACAATGAATAAAGCATAATTTTTCTTGATCATAACTAATGCTACTACGAAGTTCGCCTGAAGTCTATCTAGGGTTATTGCTAATCTTAAGCATGGATGAAGGAGGAGCGTTGGTCATGGAGTTAACCACCCCATTCCTTAAAAAAATAAGTAAGTATGTAAGTAATGCAGCTGAGTGATTTTCAAATCTGTGTCTTATCCACTTCAAGCATTTCCTTCTGATTCCCTCCTCAAATGGATTTGGGTTTGTTCTCCATCACACCATGATGTCTGGCTTATTGATGTGCAGCATATTGTGTAGACAACTGTTAATGTGATGGTAGAGAAAATGTGTAGGTCGTGTGGTTGATTGTGGTGGTGTTTGGTTCTGTGAGTTGGATGTTTTGGTTGTGGAACTTTCATTGTTCGCCTTCTGAACAACATCATCAACACAAACTTCGGAGAGAAGTGAAGTATTCGAATTTTGTCCAAATGTGACCCATGGCTTGTTCTGTTAAACTCGATTTTGATCGGTTGTTGTTGACGTTAAACCAGTCGTCGTCTGCAACTTTATTGTGATTATATCCGCCGTGAAAGGACCTGTTACTTGATCGTATGTTTGTCTATGATATTTCAGACTGGTTGATAAATTGTGTGAATGTCGATGCGTTACTGCTAACTGATTTTTCGGAAACAAAACTGAACGGGTCGTCAATTTTTACCTATGTAGTGATCTTCACAATCTGAGCTATTTATTTTGTACATGATATTTGATTTTTTTTTCCTTAATTATTTTGTCCTTTGGTCTACATAGGATTGATTGAAGTGATTCTGTTGGTTTGAGTGCCACTCCTATTCCGCTTCTTAAGTCAATTATCGCTCTTACCTCTCCCAGGAAATGTGCTCCTAATATCGGCTTCGATAAGCTTGTGGTTACCACGAACGGAAAATTTATCTCAGCTCCACTCATTTTTACAATACTGTTAGATACCCCCAACACCTCTAGCATATGCCCTCCTATGGTGTGGACAGCTAATGTACATGGTTTGATTGTCTTACATTGCTCTTTGCATATTAACGATATTGCTGCCCCTGTATCGATCAAACACACTAACTCCTGTTCATTTATGTACAATCTGGCATAAATTGC